AAGGGAACGTGTGGTGGGGGGGACGCAGGGGGGACAGATGGTGTGGGGGTTTCTGGGGAGAAATGGGTTTGGCCTGACCAGCAGCTGATGGTGGGGAAACTGGGGAAAGCTGTTGTACAGTTTTGCTGTCTGGATCATTCCCCGTTGCCTTTGGCTTCACCATCGTTGGCTGTGCCAGGCGTCTACTCCTCTGAAAGACGATAGGAGTAGGCTGTTCAGCCCCTCAATCTTGCTCCACCAGTCAATGGCTGATCTGGCACTTTTCACGCCCACTTTCCTGCCTGTTCCCCGTAACCCTTGAACTCCTGACTCATTGAGAAACTGATTATCTGAACCTTAAATGTACATAAGCTGTCTGTGAGGGCCTCCTTAAACCTTAGTAAAAGAACTGTGGATGTTGGTTGCCGAGGGAGCGGGTGCTGTCGGAGGGTCAGTGCCGAGGGAGCTCCGCACTGCTTGAGAATTCTCCCTATTCTGTGTCCAATACTTGTGCCAAAACTGACATAATCCAAAGAAAACCTTGGTGAATGAGTTGGTTGTTACTCGTGGAATCTTGCTGTGTACAAATCGTTCCTAATGCTCCCACTGGGAGGCATGGTGGCTCAGTGGTTAGCACTACTGCCTCACAACACCAGGGACCTGGGTTCGACCTGTGTCTGCATGGGTTTCCTCCCACAGTCCAAAGATGTGCAGATTAGGGTGGATTGGCCATGCTAAATTGCCCCGTGGTGCCCAGGCTTGTGGAGGTTAGGATGGATTGGCCGTTTGAAATGTAGGAGTTTTGGTCTGGGCGGGATACAGTTCGGAGGCTTGTTGTGGACTCTGGCTTGGATGGTCTGCTTCCACACTGTATGAATTTAATGATTCTAACGCTGTGATGTTAGTGAGCCAGACATTGACCTCGCTGTACAGCTTTGTTTCTGTGAACAGCAAGCGATTGGAATCAGTCCAAGGCCCATCATGTCCTACCAGGAGAGTTCGAAAGGAACAGTAGCTTTTCGATAAGCTGAGAGCAGTTTGTCGCACCACACCTCAGTCTCACATGATGCAAACTTCGACCTTTTCTGTTTAGAGTTTGAGACATCTCCTGAGCTGATTATGGAGTCCGTAGTACAGCCTTTCAGTCAGAATTGCAGCTCGATTATTGTGGTTTGGAGTCACTCTGGGGATTTGTGTGAATCTGCCTACAGAACAGTGCAGTGTATACAATCTACAAAATGCACTGCAGTGACTCCCCAAGGCTCCTTAGATGGCACCTTCCAAATCTGGGACCTCTACCTCCTGGAAGGACAAGGGACAGCAGATACATAGGAATACCACCCCCTGCAAGTCCCCTCCGAGCCCCCCCACATACCCACAATTCCAATGTGGAATGTCGGCTGGTTCTTCAGGGTCAATAGCCTGGAACTCCCTCCCTAATGGCACTGTGCAGGGTGTCGTCACACCACGTGCGGTGGGGGGAAGAGAGAATCTGTGGCGGTTCAAAATGGTGGCTCATCCCATCCCCACCCACCCACCTTCACGAGGGGGGCAATTAGGGACTGATGACAAAAGCTGGCTCCTCCAGTGATGCCCATGTTATATAAAGTCATTCTTGTCACCCTGTAACACTGGGGTACAGTACCGGTGGGGGACGGGGTCTGTCGCTGTATAACACTGGGGTACAGTATCAGTGGGGACGGGGTCTGTCGCTGTATAACACTGGGGTCTGTCGCTGTATAACACTGGGGTATGGTGCTGTGCTGTGGGAATGGGAGACAATGGCCTGATTTAATCTGTTTAATCTTGTGTCTCTGAGCCAGCCCTGTGTCATCTTGTAGTTCCCCCTCCGATGCTGAGGCTGAAGTTCATACAGGCGCCTGCATTTCCTGTCCAGGGCCCATGTGATGGAGTGCAGCCTTACTTTTCTCAGCAGTTTCAGTGTTGTTGCTCACTTGGGGTGTACCCACATTAATCTGGCTGACTCCGAACTGAGCAAGCAAACCACTTGGCCCAAGAGGCAATAAATGCTGGCTGAGCCCGCAGCACCCACATGCCACAGACTAACCCATTTAAGAATCTTCTCAGCGCCTGAATCCGACGCTGAGGTTAGCCCTAGTTCATGGGGACTTGCACAGCCTGGCTTCTGAGTCAGAAAGCCAAGTGTTTGAGTCCCCATTCCACTCCTGGCTAGCACCATTATCGAGAGAGCGCGGCGCAGTCGGAGGGTCGGCGCCGAGGGAGCGGGTGCAGTCGGAGGGTCGGCGCCGAGGGAGCGGGCGCTGTCGGAGGGTCGGCGCAGTCGGAGGGTCGGCGCCGAGGGAGCGGGCACAGTCGGAGGGTCTGTCTGCCCCTCTCTTGGTCATAAAAGATTGCACAGCAGCTGTTGGAAGAGGAGTAGGTGATACAGGAGTGGGGTTGCTGCATTTATGTGGCTGGTTCAGTTCAGTTTCTGCTAAATGGGAGCCCCAGGATGTTGACAGTGGGGGCGAGGGATGGATTCAGTGATGGCGATGCCATTGAATGTCAAGTCGAGATGATTAGATTCTCTCGTACTGGAGATGAGCGTTGCCTGGTGCCTGTGTAGCGTGAATGTTAGCTGCTACCTCTCTGCTCAGGCCTGGATATTGTCCTGGATTTGCTGCATTCAGGCCTGAACTGCTTCAGTGTCTGAGGAGCCGTGAGTAGTTTTTTGGGTTTTGACCCGGTGACAGTGTGGTGATGCTGTATGTTCCACATGAGGATGGTGTGTTTGGGGTCTGGGAGAGGATGTGGTGTTCTTGTGTATCTGCCGACCCTCTCTTTCTGGAGGGTACGGGTTGTTTGGCTGCTTTGTCCCTGGATGATGTCGAGGTTCTCAAGTATTTGTCAGAGCTGCCCCCCTCCAGGGCGAGTGGGGAGTGTTCCCTCACGCTCCTGCCTTGTGCCTTGTCGACGGTGGGACAGGGCTTGCGGCGGGGAGGGGAGTCAGGGAGTTACTCAGAGTTCCTAGCCTTTGGACTAAGCTCGCTATGGTTAAAGCGTGCCGTGAAATTGCTTGTGGACAATTTGATACTGGAATCCTGTGGTTCAGAAGAAGCCTTTCGGCCCATCAACCGATCAACCTAGCCCCACTTTCCCACGCTCAGCCCATTGCTTTGAATGTCATGACATTTCAAGTGCTCATCCAAGTTTTTAAAGGTTGCGAGGTTCCCCGACTCAACTTGGCCTCCCAGGCTGTGCATTCCGGACCCCGACCACCCTCCTGAGGGCGGGGAAAAAGACTTGCTTCGAATCCCCTCTAAACCTTTCACTTTAAAATGACTCCCTCTTTGTTCCCCTAAATCGAAAGATCAGTAACAGCTGCTTTCTATCCTCTCTGTCCAAGCCTCTTCCTCTCCCCCACCCCCTCATAATCTTAATCACCTCAATCAGGCTCCTCCCTTAGTCCTTCTCTGCTCCAAAGGAAACGCCCCGAGCTTATCCAGCCTCTCTGCATCGCAGGCAACATCCTGCTGAATCTGCTCCATACCCATCCCAGTGCAATCGCCTCCTTCCTGTCCACAGTTCTCCAGCTGTGGCCGAAGCAGATTCCGTGCAGCTCCGACGTCACCTCTCCGCAACTGTCCCGTTTCCCTTCTTAATCACCTCCCCCTGCCCCACCCAAACTCTCCTGCCACCTTCAGGGATTTGTGCGCAAGGTCCCTCTGTTCCTCTGAGCTTCCCAGTGCCCTGATAATCATTGAGCACTCCCTGGTCTTGTTCCGCCTTTCCAGTGCATCGCCTCACATGCATGGGGTTTAAATTCCGATCTGTTTCTGTCCTCTCCTCGCCGTCGGCCCCTCTCCATTCCTGCTGGTTCCCCACCCTTCTGATGGTTAGCTCCTTTAACCTTCCCTCTCCCTGCTCCTTCAGGAATGCAGTGAACGTGGAAGGAGCAACTCACAAGCAGGTGGTGGATCTAATCCGGGCCGGAGACCGGGAATTGCTGCTCACCGTTCTGTCCGTGCCCCCTCACGAGCTGGAGACTCTGGACCCCAGCGATGACTCCTCAGGGCAGTCCTTCTATGACTACTCAGAAAAGCAGGCCATTCCCCTCTCCATCCCCAGCTACAAGCACGTCGAGCTCAACGGCGAGAAATTTGTTGTGAGTATTGGCTCTGGTTCATGCTGCAGGTGACCTCTTCCCCGCCCAGTACTGGCCCCTTCTGTTCCATGCCAGCCCCCTCCCACCCTCTGGCGTCTTCACCCCTCCCCACTCCTCTATCCTTCTATTCCTCTCTCCCTCCTGAGTCCCCCATTCTTTCCCTCCACTACTCACCGTGAGATTGGGTCCCCACTTCTCTCCCTGCCTGCCCTCTACCAACTCCCCACAGGCGGGGGTCCCCCATTCTCCC